TAGACAGATATTCATAATGTTAAATGTTCACTGTCAAATATACCTTTTAGCTTTATGAAGAATTTTTCTTAGTCTAAAATAATGTCTTCAGGCCTGAATTCTACTTTGTCTCAAAGAATGATCAACAACCTAGTTTTCTTTACATTTGTCTTTATGTGTAAACTTTTGCCCTTTGCAACTTTGAACCATTTAGTTTTCACTGGCTGCCTTGAATATAGCAAACAAAAATCAGACTCTGCTTGGTGATCCAATTTAAAATCTTTTCAATAGATTCACTAATAAAGTCATTTAAAATTTATTGATATGAAAAAAGAAAACAAAATAAAATAAAATGTATTGATATGACATATATGGTTGCTCTTAGTTCATCTTATGTTTGGTTTTATAATTAAAAAAACACTTTCACTGTTGTCTATTTTCTTTTTGTGTATTTATAATTTTTCTGATAATTAGGATGATCTGTATTTTTGTTCTGTGTTTCTGGTTATAGTTTTATAACCATAATTTTAAATAATTTGTTTAATACCATTAACCTTCTACTTCTTTACACAGTAACTATGAGCACTAAAGAAATTAGGTTGTGTAATCTTACTGCCTCTCTTGCACTACAGTTATAGTCAACAGGATTATCTTTCTCAGTGTTTACCTTTGTACTGTTAAATATACCTATACTTCTACTAACTGATTTGTCAGCTGTAAATGATGTCCTTTGACTCCCAGCCATTACAGATGAGGCAATCCACAAACTCATTCTACCTCCAATTTTCTTCCTACTTCCCAGTTTTCTTAATTTTTTAAAGTTTTAAAACCAATTACTACATTGTCATATATTTAATATGTACATTTTATTCTTCTTTATTCCCACCTTTTAGACTCAGGTCTATAGTTAAATATAATCAATGCTCTCCAACAGTACATTTGCCAGTTTTCTTACTTATCTGTAAAGGATGAAGTTCATCTTCTACTAGTTTCCTTCAGAGGACCTTAGAGTAACAATATGTCCTGAGGCATACAGGTTCAAAATGTTTATACTTAAAGAACATTTTACAGATGATAAAATTAAGGCACAGAAAGATTAAATAATTTTTACATGCTAGCAAGAGGCAGAGCCAAGATTTGAACTCAGAAGTTTAGCTCCCGAGTCCACGCTCTTGTGATTTCAACAAGTTCAGATATTCAATTTTAATCACAGAAAAAATACTAACATTTAAAAGAAATAATTAATGGCAAAGCAACTGTGATGCATGAGAAATTAAGAGAATAAAAAATGTATTTTAGAAACTGTGCTAGGGTAGGCAAAAGTAGATTAGGAGGTTGAATCACTCATGTGTTTAAAGGCAGGGCCTCTAAATTCAATCCGTGATTTGAATATTGGCTCTGTTACTTAAGATAATTTGGACACGGTATTTAACCTCTCTGAGCCCCAGTTTCTATATTTGTAAAATGGGGATAAGTGTGACTATCTCATGGGATGCTGTGAAGTTTAAATGAGATAATGTATTTTATAGAGGGCCAAACACAGTACCCAGCACCTAGGTTAGTAAGTGTTTTAATATGCTAATATATACTTTTAAAAATTATTACTATCATGAGATTAATCAAGAAAACTACAAATTTAGTTCCCTCAGATTATTCTGAAATAAAGAAAAAAATTTCCAATTTTCTAAGAGTGAAAAAGAAGCCTATTTTCTTTACATGAAATACTCTCTTCTTCCTCTCAGCCAATTGTCAAGTTCAAGTCCCAGCTCATTCATGAAAACTGCCCTAATGATCCAATCCACACTAATTTAAATAAACTCTCAGCCATTCATATCTGTGTGCACCACACTTTACACATTTTATAATAAAGTCTTATTCTCTCTTAACAAAATTTTGTAACATTCTATTAGTACAAATTGTTTACATGTTTTACCACTTCTTTTTACCAATAGTTTTATATGTCATCTTGTCTCATGAACTAGACAAATAATGTCTTTTTTCAATCAAGTTTTTAAACTTTTACCCTTTTCAGACTCAAAATTGCTTAGCACAGAGTGAGGTAAACGAAAATTTTGTTTGATTGATTCTGAATGTTTATATTTAGGAGAATTCAAATAGGCTGATGAGCTAGAAAGGCCAATTTCAAGTAAACATTTAATTTTTAAATTCTTAACTGTTTAAAAGATTGTATTTTAAAAATAGGGGAAAGTACTATTGGGGGAGGAAAAGGTTTTATAAAATGCTTTAAGAATAATTTCTAAAAGTGAAAACAAAATAGCCATATATATTTTTTTTTAAATTTTTTTTTAAACGCAACTGAATAGAATTACAGTATCTCTAAGAGCAAAGGTACAAGGGCTACCTAATTCATGAACATTTAGTTAATGTGTAACATTTACTGAAAGAGAAAGAGATAAATTCACAACATAAAATGGTTAAGTGGGAGCTCAAAGCATTTATAAAAGTCTATTTTTTGTCTTACTACTTTCACCAGAAGCAGTTCCATTTATTAACCTGTACTGAACACAAGGCTTTCAATATCATCCATTAAGGGAGAAAAGAAGCACTATACTACAACAATGGCCTGTAACTGCATTATTTGGTCTGAATCTAATTAAACAAGAGTACCATAATCTATCTACTATAATCATTCTCAAAATTACTAAGAACACTTTAGAAATACAGCTTCATCTGGATGCATGTGTACTTCCTTCTCTTAGAAATGATCATTAGCTACAACTAATATTCTTTAAAATATGAAGGCTTAAACCATGTATACTTCCCAAGTGAGACTTGCTTTAAAAGCTTTGTGTAATTTTTTTCAATATGACATGTGATTAGAATTCACACTATGCAGACTTGTTTCATTCAAGGCTATTTTACACGGAACATAATCATTCTAAAAACATAAAAAGAAAGTTGTGAGGACAGTGGCTTGTTCACATATGCCATCTACAAGATAATATCTAGCACAGCAGTTGAGTCTGGAGTCCGGAGCCAACAGCCTCACTTGAAATCCCAGCTCCACCATGTCCTACCTGTGACTTAGGTATGTAACTTTACCTATGTGTGTCTTGACTACCCAGTTGGTAAATTAAGTATAATGAAAGAATGGATACCATAGGGTTGTTGCGAAAATTAAGTGAGGTAATATAGAGTACTGAGAATAGTGCCTGGCAGGTAGTAACTAAACACTCATAAATGTGAGCTATTACAAAAGTAACAATTGAAAATGTTTATCCCAAGTGAATCCTCAAGAATACATCTAACTGAAGAAAACTTATATTCCAGACTAGAACTCTCATTTTTTCATCAACTTTTTTCTCCACAACAACTGCGTGTAGTTAAGTGGAAACTTTTTTCTTTCTGCTCATTTTCTAAATGATAATTTCGTGAAACAATACTAAAACCCAACAGTACTATTCTCAAAGCAAATACCAACCTTACAATGTTATGTATAAAGCTGACCCATATCTCAGAAAGTAAAACGTGAAGGAGGTAACAGAATTGGAAACTTGGACTCCTAAACCAAGAATACAATCCCGAGCTAGCAATGCCTTCAGTAAAAAATCCATCTTGTGTGGACCAAGTATCTCATTATGGATGGGCACATTTGTTCTTCAGGGTTTATGTAGTGTCATCAATGTTCTAGGCTCATCTTACTCAACCAAAACCAAATCAAAAAAGCAACTGTGCACTGGTTACAGGGCTAAATGGTGTCATACTTATCTGGAACCTAATAAATAAAACTTTTTGACCTGAAATTAACCTAAGAATGACAGCATTTCTAAAAACAATGTAAAAATCAATTTAATGATATCACCTTAGAGTTTTGAACTTGGGGTTGGTAAACATCATAAATTATATAGAAAATCCTATGTGTGCATTTTTCTGGGAAGATGATCCAGTGCTTTCATCAGATCTTCAAAAAGCAGTGGAATCCCAAAAGGTTAAGAATCACTGCTCTTTACAGCTTACAAATTTCTTTCTATTCTTAGGTTATTAGTTTCAGAAAAGACCCTGCTTCTATAAAATTAAGCAGTATAATTTTAAATCCATTCCAAGTCTCACGTTAAGTTTTTAGAGTCTACAAACCTTTCCCAGAGCTGTAATTAAGGGACAATGAGAAACATGGAGCACAGAAGAACTACTAATAAATGGTGAGTAAATTTTAGCCAACTCTAGAACTGGTATGTACAGAAAACGTAGGATAGTATGATACAAGGATGAGGCTCTAATGATCGTTAAATACAGTAACAGTTGTCAACAAAGACAATCAAATTTCAGTTTTCTAAACTTCGAAAAGGCAGTTTAGGAGGAAAAATGTTATCACTGCAATTTCAGAGAGACCTATGTAAAATAAATTCCTTGAACAAACAGAAAAATTTATAATGCCCACAAGCCCCGGCAATCTTTTGATTTATCTTACATCTGTCCCGTAATTTAACACCTTATAATTTATTAGCAAAAACATACAACACTTAATGAGACTTCCTTCCAGGTATATACTACTAATCTATAATATAATCTATATACTATAGGTTAGTATAGACTAATCCAATCCTGGCTAAATGACAGTAGCCTTCAGTTAAAATCTACGAACCTTTCAATCTGGCAACAGTTAAAATACAAAAATCCTAATCCAACTAAAGTCAACCAAAGTAATCCTGAGGTTTGTTTCCTTCCCTCGCCCTTGGGGCCGGCACCTCTTTGTGCACAGGGATGTGAAGGTTTCCTAACCCCAGACCCCAGTTACCGGCCCTGGCAAGACACCCTGTCCTGCTCAGCAGTGCAAACGACGGCGGAAGTGAACCGGCGCAATCCCCGAAGAAGCCGTCAATCCAGGCGTTGTCCCGCCGGGCCCAACACCGAGAGCAGGGGAGCGCCGCTACCGGAGATCGGGCCGCAGACTGGTGGGGACAAGCGGAGACCGAGGCAGGGGTTACAGCTTTGGCCCGTGCTCTACCTCAGGGCCCGCGGCGGGAAGGCGAAAAGGACAGGAGGGGATAGGGTGGACACACCTGGCGGAGACCCTAGGCGACCCGTTCCTGCGTTAGCCCGGCGTCGGTCAGAGTCTTCCAGCATTCGCCACCGCCCCTCCTCCCGGCTCAGGGCCACCTCCACGTTCCGCTTCAACGTGGCAGCCGCAGCCCCGCCCAGCGGACCAGCCAGCTTCCGGGAGAGATGCCTCGCCCCGCCCACTCCGGCTTGCGAGCCTCTACGGCACTTCCGGGGGCGGGGGCAGACCGGGGCGGAGCCTGGGGCGGCTGGCGGGGCCCCAACTCTGGTGTCTCCCCTTCGTCTGTGAGGTCTGTGAGGTTAGGGACCTGCTCTGAGGGGCGGCGCGTAGGGCGTCGGTGCAGTGTCCCCGACCACGCGAAAAAGAGAAGTCCTGCTGGGTGTAGCTGTCTGGCCGAAGAACAGCTGTGGCTCCCAGGAGCGCCACGTAGCACAAGTCCTGAGACGTCGATAGCCCCCGCGACACTGGTTCACGGACAAACCACGTGAAAATAGGGCTGGGCCTTATTGCAGTACCAGTAATTTGTGACTTGGCCCCTAAAATTGCTTACTTGGTTCTACAATAATTGTGTTTTGAGAACTTCTTTAAAACCAAACCCTCCTATTTAAGCATTAGAGAGTAGGCCCCTTTTTGTACTCTCACTGCATTCTTTCCAACACCCTTTTAGTGTCTTATGCTTGTGGTTCAACTTAAAAAGGAAGTTTATTTCTGTGGGACTCAAATAGACAATCTCATGTGGATAACTTAGGCTACAATAGCTAATTTCCAGTGTTCTAAAAAGCCTTCCATTTTTATTTATAACTGCAAGGACTAGTTCACCTGAATAGGTGCCAATAAGAACTTCCGACTTAAAAGTGGGGCCGTTTGAGCCAAAGGAAACATTGAACTCTGTGCTACCTGGAAGTGGGCATTGGTAAGAAAAACAGGGTTCATTAGAACAACTTTCCCAAAACTCAAAAGATTCAAGCAGTAGTTACATTACAGTATTTGGTATCACTTAATACAATCCTGGGAGGCCAACTTCCGATGGCGGGGCTGGGTGGGAAGCAGGCGGTGGACTGAGGCCAGGGGTGGCGGGCTTGGGCAGCGGAGACTAATGGAGGACTGGGTCCGGGCCCGCCCACAGGCCGCTGTCACCCTCTTCCATGGGCCCGAACCTGGTGCTGCTGCCCTGGATGTCTCCTTAGGCCTGTCAAGAGGTGAACTGGCCAAGCTCGCGTTCCAGTGCAGGTGGGCAAGAGCAAGCTGGAGCGCGTGCACAGCGGCCTTGACCTCTTCTCCGTGCTGCTCCAGCTGAACGAGCTGGATCCCGAGCACAGGGAGCTGCCACGAGAGCTGCTTGCCCCCTGCGGCGCCAAGACCTGCTGTGGCTCCTTGATGACCTCAAGGCAGAAGCAGCCTGCTGGGTCGCGCGGGAGGAGCCAGACCTGAGAGCAGCATTAGACATCATATGTGATCACGCGGGGAAGGACTGGAGAAGACTGGCTTCTCAACTTAGTGTCTTGAACCAAGAGCCATGCCATGGAAGTGAAGTATCTTGTAACCCGGCAGAACAGGTGTGGGAGTCCCTGAGCGTCTGGAAGACCTACCATCAAGGGGAAGGATGCTCAGGGCCTGGTGGCTGAACTTGGAGGCGGACTTCATCGAGGATCATTAGAACCGGGCCCTCCAGAATGACAATGCGCGCGGCAGCGGCTCCGTGTGCCTAATCTCAATGGACACGGAAGCAGACGCCTCTGGAGCCTCCTTATGATCCACCAGCTCTGAGGGCATCTATAGTCTGAACTTGGGTTACCACCACTAAGGTTGGCTGTTTCCCATTTGCCAGTGCTGTGAAGACCTAGCTGTGAGCCAAGGTGAGGGACCCCAGCACTCGCAGAGCCAGACTGGCTTCTCAGAGCTGGCATTTACTGAGCACTGTGCCAGGCAGGGCTTTGGGCACTGTACAGATACTTCCTTCCGTGTGAGGGAGATTCTGGTGTCCCCATTAAATGAGTTCCTACAGGAGGGAGTTTGGGAACCATGTTCGGCGCATAGAAGGGATCTACAAAAACAGTTATTACTGTTATGATTCTACAGGTGAGGAAACAAGCAACGAGTTAAGGAGCTGGTGAAAAATCGGGGTAGTAATAGAAGAGCAGGGATTGGAAGCAACACAGTCCAGATACAAAGCCCAAATTACCACTGGATCATTCTGCCACCTGCCAGGCAGTGAGGCTATCACTGTAGACCCATATATCAGGGCGGGTGGCATGAGACACACCCTGACCTAGGCTTTGGGAGGCTTGCTGTACTCATTCTCCAGCTTGGTCCTTGAGTGGATGGAGTCTCCTCTGAGGTTTGCAAAGTAGGGACAGTGGGTTTGTGAAGACAGACTGAGGTAATGCTTCCTAAGTGCTCAAAGTGATTGGCAGTCAGTGCTCTTCAAATGTTACTTCTTAAAAATATGATTCCTGTGATCCCAGTTTACCATTTTGTAACAAAACCACAATCTTTCTGATAACAGAACTGGCAAGAGAGCTGAATCTTGTAATTTTAAAAAGTAATCTTTCTTCCTTGTTCTAAGGTAAGCCTATTAAAGCAGATGCCTCTCCAGGGGAAAAATATACAGTACAACTACGTTTTCCTATTGCACAAGTCAAACTACAAACTTCCCCATCCCCACCCCTTTTGTAAGGCCCTGTGAGCTAAGTAAAATATTTTGTATAAACAAAAAATTTTTGTGAGCAAAAGAAAAATATTTCATGATGAAAAAATTGATATTCAAATTTGTTTCCATAGTTTTAACAGATGATCAATAAACCACTTAAATTGGAATTGAGGGCCTGTAGGGGGAGCTCTCACTCCCTACCACTCATCCTCAATGACCCCAAACAGGAAGAGAGGTACTTCCCATCTCCAACAGGAAGATGTTTTACTCTACTACTCCAACAGGTAGTAGAGTTTCCTCCAATAGACTCTTAGTTTACAACAGCTCCTCTAAACTCTTTCCCCCTTCTACATTCCTGCTTTGCTCTCTGGTCTTGTGTATGGTTTGCCAATAGACCAAATGTCCCAGAGTACAATTCTTTGTTGTTCCCAAATAAACCTTTTGCTGAAGAAACATCTAGCTCTTTAAGATCAACAGAACACAGTCACTGTTAATGGTTTATCTATCATCTATGGCTGTTTTTGTGCTACAAGGGCAAAGTTGAGCAGTGACTACAGAGACCATATGGCCTGCAAAAACTAAAATATTTACTATATGGTCCTTTAAAAGAAGTTTGCCAAACCGTTTTATTGGACAGGATTTAGCCTACAAATGGATTAATACTCAAAGTGAAAATACAAGACATTCAGAATTATAAATTATTTCAAAGCCTTTGATATGGTAGCATACAAAAACAATATGAAAAATGTGAACTATAATGGGTTACTGTAAGGCTCAAATATAGCTGTTTGTAGACTTATATTTTGTAAAATATAGAGTCCCAAACTTGTTTTAATTGCAGGCAGTTCTCACTTCGACTATGCAAGCTAAAACAGCAAAGCAATCTTAATCTATGGAATTAACCATCTATTATTCTGTGACCTTAAAATTTGTCAAAACATTAAAAATTCTCTTGATATTGGTTATAAATGTAAATAAAATATTTAAAGCATTAGAAACATTGAAAATTATAGTTTTTTATTTCTTTATAAAAATACAGTAGTTTGAACAGTGCTTGCTTTCTTCTCATTATATAATTTAACATATGGAACAAACATCTTTTCTATGCCTTGGCAAATCATCGTACTCCTAAGTTTGGATCAGCCTCCGAAATTTTATCCTTTGTGCTCTCAATGGAGTGAAGTATGTCTGAGAGTTTCTTGAATGTGCAATTTTTCATCTGCATTGCTTCCTCCGAGATGTGTTCATCCTTTACACTTTCCTCACTTGTGACTATGTTTGCCTTCACTAAGTTCCTCTGGCTGCATATCTAGAACTAATTCTTGAATGGAGGCAGTGTCAACATTCCCATGGTCTCCTACATCTTTTATAACTTCATTTATAGTCCATCCAAATCCTGCGAAGTTTTTCCCACAGTAGTCTTAGTCTTGCACTATTGCGCAAAGCCAAGAATGCCTGTAATTCTTGGAATATGGGTGCAAATTTCACAGTAGCATCCTTACCTGAGTTTGCAGCTTCATAAGAAAGCATAACAATCAATTCACGCAGACTTCTGAAACGATGAAACCAGCCTTTACTGGCAGTATTTTTTTTTTTTTCCAGTCTCCTTGTAATTACCATTTCCTTCAATGCAGCAGCTAACTTGAACGCTTTGGCCTGAATGCTAGCCCAACCGATTGGGATTTTTTTTTTTGGCTGAGCCATCCTGCCACCTGTTGGCAGCTCAGCGGCAGCTCAGTTCGGGCCAGGAATCGAACTGGAGACCCTGTTGCTCAGAGCTTGCACTCATGAGCGAGCTCTGAACCAACTGAACCACTCGGCCAGCCTTGGGATCTGTTTTTGATTATAGTCCACAATTCAAAGTAGAAATAAATGCTCCATTTCAACCCTAAGCGGCTTTCTGTTCCTAGTGCAACTTAAAAGGTGTTGAAGCAACTTTATGTTGTATTTTATATTCATCAGGTTTCTAAAATATGGTTCATACTGTAGCTTCATGTAGGCCTCGGTCTCATCCTATCTTTCCTTTGCTGTCACTATTTTCTAATCTGAACATATCTAATTTCACTTCCAGAGTTATCACATTTTGTTTCTTTGCTGCTGTCATCTTTGTTGACCAATACCCTGTTTTGATTATCCATTTTTGTAAATGTTGCATAGGTTTCTCACTGGGAGACAAGGTGGCAACAAAACTATCCTTTACCCTCTGTGTGTGAACTAATAGTTGCAGTGACCACCAATCACAATAGACTTTGAAAAAAGCGATGTAACTGGTTACTGATAATGATGCACATTTTTTATTTGCATTATGATATGTGGAATAAAGAGCTAGCAACAAAGATTATACAACAATTCAGTTAATATTGTTGTGATAACTGAAATTTCAACCATGTTGTTGGCCTGGTGTTATTTAAACTATGAAAACTGATATCCACGCATGTTGGAATGGTGCAAAGTAAGGACTACCTGCATCTAAAAAGAAAAACTTATATTAG